ATGATCGAGGAAAATCGGTGGGATCATTTGGCTCTTTCACCATCCAACTTCTTCTGATCGAGTCATAGATTATGCGATCTGAAGCCTTTCACGATCGCTACCCACAAGAGCCTGGACGGGGTGTCATCTCAGGGCAGAGACTTCATGGTCAATCAACTTTCCAAAGCAATCAACACGGCGGCACGGAATAAGCAGATAGTACATCATTGGATGGAAAAACGAGGTAGGTCAATATTAACGTGGTATACGCAGCGTCATTCGTGCGGAATTCAACCTTCTCTACTCGTAGTGCAGGAAAAATTGCGTTCTACCCTTGTTTTTGCAGCGGATGTCGCCCATATTGAGGCACTGGTGAAAGCTTTTAGAAAAGCTGGAGTGGTGGCGAGGGGTATTCATACGGGTACAAAAGCATATTCAAGAAAACTTCTCTTGGAAGACTTTCGTCAAGGCAAAATCGAAGTTTTGGTGAATTGCGGTAATGAACCGGTTCGTGGTTGCGGACTATGTATGGTTACTGACGATCAACTTTTTTTAGGCATTGTCACGGAAGGTGTAGACATTCCCAGAATCGATTGTATCGTTCAAGCACGACCTACAAAGTCGGGACCTCTTGTCAGTCAAATGCTTGGAAGAGGCATGCGACCATGGGAAGGTATGGGGCATGAGTGTTCTTTGTACGACCCAGGCTGATGACTATTGCAGGGAAACGCTATTGTGTGGTTTTGGATTTCGTCGATAATATGACCCGAGGGAAGGGCAAGCTGGCGACAGTACCGACCTTACTGGGATTGAACTCCGAGTTTGTTTTTGATGGTAAGACCAGGCGACAATATGAACAAGAGGCCCTTCGTGTATTGATTATGCCGAACATCGATGATGTAGGCGAAAGCTATTCCCAAGTCAGCACTTTAACCGAACAATGCAGAGAAAAGCTCCATAAAGCAAAGAGAAGCGGAGGAGCCTTTATTGCAGCGAAGGATTTTTTGGCGCTGGAGGAGGAAGCGATTTCCGTGACTGTAGAGACCATCCGACCATTACCTGCAAAACCTTTGCCGTTTTGGAAATGGAACCCGGAGAGCTCAGACATGCCATTATTGACCGATTCGACTTTGCTGGCATTGTCAGCACTGGCCTGGATCAAGATACGCAGTGACGAGGTGATACTTCCCATAGGCCAGCAAGCACATCTGGTCGTCATAAAAGGGGAAGGTATGGAGAGATTTAGTATGATAATTTGCTCTAGTCCTGACTGCTGCGATAACAGATGGCGCATACGACGTGAACATCATCCAATCATTCCGGTCTTCCGCACCCAACCTGAACGGAACTTTCACAACGAAGAAGAAGACGGTCATCAGTCGTTTGTGCCGGCATGACAATATGGCGTCTGCATTAGCGGCAGCTGACACGTACGCACTATCAAAAGTAGGGGCCGGGTTCATAATGACAAATGCCCGATGGAGGCATGAGCCCGCTACTGAAGGCCAGCTTCGGTTGCTGGGAAAGTACAAGTTCAATGTGGATGATGGGGTCACGAAAGGGGAAGCACACGCTTGGTTGGAGAAGATCCATTGGAAGCAACGGAAAAGAGCTCAAATGAATCGAGTGGAGAAGGAAAAGGGCGACAATAACGTTTGGAAGACGCTAAACGTGCAGGTTGGAGATGAGTTGTAGTTGTATATACGTAGCAAAGACAGTAGGTGGTGGTAGCGAATAGTCTTCTATTTTTGTCAATTAAAAGTGATAGCATGTTGTAAATATAGCTGATGGTAGTGAAGACGTCCAATGTAAGAAATCATTCGAACTCATGGAATCCCGTTCTCAGGCCACGACGCAAGGGAAAAAACAGAGCACGCTTTCCGGACAGGTCAATCTATCCAAGAAGAGTATTATATTACCATGGACACGACATCGGCAATTCCGTTCTGGGCCCACTAATCCGCTTCGTGAGGTCACGAGCCGGATGTGGCCCAATAGACGGACTTCTGGTGACATCTCTACCACGAGCACGACGACCGCTACGACTACGATCCCTCCCCCGAGCAGGACTTTGGCTACGACTGACACTACGACTGAGGCTACGATCCCGCTCTTTGCGTCGTCGTCTCCGACCTCTATCACCATCAGGATCACTCGCTGACAAGTGATTCGAATCGGATGACGAATGATCCACACTCCGACTACGACTCCGACTACGACCCTTCCTATCCCTCCGTCCCTTACTCCTATCCCTCTCCTTCTCCTTAACCTTCTCCCTCTCCCTTTTCTTCTTCTTCTTCTTCTTCTTGTCTTTCTTTCTTTTCCGTTCCTTCTTCTCCCCGCGATGGGCTGGGGAGAGGGGCGCCGTCCCCGCTCCGAGGTCCATCTGGAGTTCTTCCAAATTCTCGATATAGTGTAGGAGACTGTTGTCGTCGTAGTTGTCTAGGTCGAGGCGTGGGTCGTAGCCGGCGCTGAAGTATTTGTCTAGGCGGGTGGAGCCAGTAGTGCCGCGTCCTCTCATTTTGGGAGGGGATGGTGTTGAGCTGGTTGGATGTGGTGTTGGTTGGGGTGCAGGATTGGTAGAGCGAGAGTCGGTAATGGGGCGTGTTTGGGAGCTCATGACAGATGATGGCGCGGTTTGGGCTGCTGAATGACTGACTTCTCGGGCCACACTATCGTCGTCTGATTCGCTGCCTCTGCGATAACCCCCGCCCTTTAGTCTGCCTTTTGGGCTCCTACTTCTGCTTCGATCAGATGAATGCCCCACTTTGTGTTCTATTCCGGTCGGACGATGCCTATCCCCTCCACACTCGTCGCTTTCATATTCGCTAACCCGGTCGTCCCGCTCTCTTCGTCGTCTCTTCCGGCTATCCCTATCGTGTCTTCCATCAGCAGCGTCCCCACTCTCCCTATCTCGATGTCGCCGTCTCCGATCCCGACTATCTGGATTCAACTCCTCCCTCCGTTTCCTTTTGAGTTCCTTCAGTCGATCCTCAGCTTCCTCTCGCTCCTTCCGAAGAAGCGCCTCGTTGTGGGCGTCGGTTGATTTGATGACATTTGACAGGAAGCGTTTATTTGGTTTGGGCAAACTGTAATACAAAGCGTCATCGTACACCGTAAGTACGTTTACCATTCAGAGTCCAGTCGCGACAGGCACCTACTTTTTCTTCTGTCCTAAAAACGCCGAGACACCAAAGGTATCGTAGCGCTTATTGGCTACGGCTGCCTCTTGGGCTATTAGTTCAGCAACGTATCGGTCTATGTCATCGTCCTGTATGTCAGATGCGGCACCGCCGACTGCCTTGCGAAAAATAACGTAAGGTGTGAAATGAATTGCAGATGAACGTTGACGTGGTGCCACATACCGCTCGGGTTAGACTGGATACAACCGAGTGCAGAGCGCCTTTCGGAGCAGTGCTTGCGGTTGCCGGTCTGCTTGCTTGTCCTGCCTTGCTTGAAGGCGTAGTGGTTCGTTTCTTACCATTATCCATAGATGGTAGAAGCCGAAAGTTATTTGCGCAGAAAGGCTCAAGAAGCGAAGTCTGGAGAGAGGGAGAGAGTGGCGAGGAGCCCATCGCGTGACACACGATGAATCACCCGTGGAGCTTACCCAATCCTTATATTTTGTTTTGGCGACTTCACGTCCTTGTGTTATTTTTATCTCCTCCTACAATTTCCACTTTTCCCATGCAAAGAGCTCAACATGAAAGTAAAACGACAAAAGACAAACAAGCGCATAATGGCGACTTACACGAACTCCTTTGGGTTCCGTGAGCCATACCAAGTTCTAGGTGGGTGACGAGTTTTACGGTGGAGAGGAAAGCACAAGCCTAACACGTCGCTGGCAGCTGACGGCAACTTCATACAGGTTGCTTTAATGATGCGCAATGACTTATTTGAAGTCCTACCAAAGACAATGATGGGGCAAGCGAAGCCAAGTGAGTTCTCCCTTGTGACTTTCGCGTGGAAAGTCTGATACTCAGACGTTGTGTGATACACCAGTGACCACGCAGTGTGTTTATGCCGAACTTCGCAAACTTGGCTCAGACTACACTGGTGCCGCCCTCAACGCAAAGCGGTTTGAGAAGCGCCGATGCACTCACCAACCTGCAATAGCAGCTGCTGATTGTTTGCGTGAAATCATTGGTGGGTGTCTTCCAAAGAACGAATCTTATTGATCTTCACCATACTGATCCAACTCATAACTTCAGGAGAGACAAACAAGTTCAACTACTGTGTCGCAACGCAGGACACTGGTCTTCGCGCGCAGTTGCGGAATATTCCCGGGACGCCGCTAATATACATCAACAAAGGCGTGACCATCTTAGAACCACCCTCGCACGCAACCTTAGACGCCATCAAACAGGTGAGCGGAACATCAGAAGATTTACATCACCAGTGCATTGTATTTTCGGACTGTGAAACAACTTGGCATGCACGAAGTGCTCACAAACGCGTAATGTCCGACAGATGGAAGTAGCAAAGACAAAACCGCAATCATTCGAAGTCTCCGTATTGAAAAAGCCAGAACCGCAAGAGGAACCGGTACGGAAAAAGAAGAAAGTCAAAGGACCCAATCCTTTATCTGTTAAGAAGAAGAAAGAGGAGCCGAAACCAAAGAAGCCGAAGGAGAAGAAGGCGGGCAAGGAGGATGGGAAGGGGCCTGGGGCGAGGGCAGCGAGTGCAGGCGAGGAGACTGGCGTGGTTGATGGAAGTCACGATTCGGGTGTGCAGTTAGGGGACGACGAGCCAATAGCAGGGAAGAAGCGTCAACGGGAAGAAGAGGACGATGAAGAGGGACAGGCAATAACGCGGGAGACACCAAGCGGCGACCCAAATACGGAGGCAGGCTCATCACAGAAGAAGAAGCGGAAGAGGAGGAAAAAGACAAAAGCGAAGCCCGGTCCATCGAATGATGACGTATCTAGTGACGAGGCGAACGAGTAACCAATAATACCAATCAGGAGTCACATGGTTATCTTTTAGCGCTAGACTTTGCATACAACCTAGGTGTCGCGGACGGCTCAACGGTCTAGTAGTATGATTTTCGCTTTGGGTGCGGAAGGTCCCGGGTCCATTTTCCAATTGAGCCACAGTCCTCCCGTTCGGCACTGTTAGACCTGGGTGCGGCTGCGCAGCCTGGATGGATGTAAGTATCCACATACATCTCCAATTGTTCTCTGCATTTAAATGACTGCTTTTTGCGCATGACTGCTTCATTGCATCCCTCTTGATAATGATTTCCGAGACCTCAGCAATGCCGGATAAGGAAATTGTGACAACCTCCTCACAAAGACGGAAGTCCCTCTCGCAGTGCACAAATTCTTTTCATTAAGCTGCCGCCGCTCTGGTGCGTCTTTGAATCACCGGCTGGCAATGCTCCTTTCAAGCGTCAATTCCTCCATCGGTCTCATCTAAGGTGGCACTGTGATTCTGACTGCGGGACCTCCAAATGCAGCATCTCAATCAATATGGATAGAATGTCATCGGAAGGCCTCGGAGGTCGGAAGCAGCCTGACGGCAAAGTGATTACGCCGCTATGAGATGGCCTGGCCGATGATGGCACAGTCATGTAAATCGTCTCACAATCGTGGCATCGGCGTGGCCCCTCTTCTTCTGCTCTTTTGCCAACTGTGCTAGTTCATACCGCTGCCCAAGCATGCTAAACGCCCAAGTCTGGTCAATAGTACCCATGATTCTCCCAGCAATATATAAGTAGGATGAGGTCCGAGGAGGGTGTTGTAGGTCAAACGCACCTTTGAACAAGTGGTGGTCTACGACAATCTCGCAGTGACAACTTCACCTCGACTTCCACTACGTACCTCACCTGACACCAACGCATCTAAATGCCCGGATCACGCTTCCATCCGCGAAACCTCTACGCAAAATTCAAACAACACGTCCCCAACCCATTCTACCGACGCATCCTCATCGGTCTTCTCGGTGTTGCTGCGATCGGTGAAGGATCCGTATATTGGGTCATGTTTCAACGATGGCGGAGGGGCGAAGACTTGAGTGGGAAGATTGTTTATGATCCCAAGAAGTGGGCTGAGGAGGACGCTAAGAAGCTTGAGGACGCGAAGTAAGGCGGGTTCGTGGCGGAAGACAGTCTGCGATCTGTATGACTGTTCATCACCATCTGTACGTACTCGGTCATTACTACGATGGTTTTATCCCATCAGCATTGTTTTGATTATGATGTTCTTACATATCTTGTGTGTAGGTTGAAGGTCCCTCAGCGCAGTGCTCGATTGCGCACTCACTTCCGATGACGTTCGGACGCACCTCTTTATGTCGTGCCCCATGTGTATATACAATGTGCTGCCAAATACATCATGTTTATGCTTCTCCTGCTCCGATAGCACCGGCTTCTCGCTGTTCCCCTCATCCTCGTTGTTCATTAGTGCTCTTATCAGCAGAATGGGGTTAGGACATGCGTCCTCTGAGCAAAACAAGAGGCATCGTCAACCGTCCAAGCTCAAAATATACCTGTCATTGGATGGTTGCGCCATCCCTTCGTCCTCCGCTTTCAAAAACAGAAGCGAAACCAACGGGGCCGAGCTGGAATCGGACCCTGGATCTGCCCAAAAGATTGGGCTCGACCGGGAATTGAACCCGGGACCTCTCGCACCCTAAGCGAGAATCATACTACTAGACCATCGAGCCTTGGTTGTGAAGAGTATTCAGCAAAGTAATCATGAAAGGATGGACATAGGGAGGCTTAGGAAGGGGAGCAGCCGAAGGCATGGCGTCAGCGTTGAGTGAGAAGGGTTGGTCGGTGTTGGGGGGTGGCAGGCAGTTGGAGCATTGTGTGGGGAGATTGACACGAAGGAGGACGTACGGAAGACTGTAGGTGGAATGATGATGAGGGAGGCCGATCCGGAGAGCAGGCAGGAGGAGGGTGCCGGACAGGAAGCGGAGGTGGAGGGAAAGGTGGTGGAAGTCAGCTGCGGAACCAGAGTGAATTCACAGACTGAGGTTGCAATACACAACGAATAGCACGAGTGCTTACGGTCAGTATCAGTTAAAAAGAGCTTTCTCCAAAAGTACACTACATTCAAGCTCGTACGCCGCGATTGTCTGTCCACTGAAGTTAGCTGTGCGCTCGGTGGCTGTGGCAGACAACATGCTTCACTATTGGATGAGAAAAACTTAATGCACCGCACATTCCGCCAGCAATTCCCAGACTGCTTACCATTTGGTCTGACATGTGATGTGTATGGGCCGCACCTCAATGTGAGGAGCATTGGGGCTTAAACAGGAAGTCCCTACCCGCAAATAATCCTAATGTCCGCTGTCCAAGTCTATGGAGTCCCATCAGTCCTTGTCCAAAGTCCTTTCCCGAATGTCCTCCCCAAAGTATCCCCACCGGAATGTCCGCGACCCAACATTCTGAAACGCCAAATCCGATTCCCGCAAAGGATCATTCTTTGTTGGTAGCGGGAAAGACGAGGTAGCAGCGATTGAAGGAGGCAGCGAACGGATATACAGAGGGGAAAAGAAGAAGGGAGAATAAGGTTAGAATTCTACACAGTCGGGTGAAACTATCAAGAATATACTATATGACCCCGGGAGCAGCACTAGCATCCAGTTCAAACCCATCCTCAACCACATGAACGACACATCTTTTGCTCAGTCTTGCGCTTCAAACCCAAAAAGGGTTGACTCCTAACAATTGGCTCAGCAGGCGGACCTTTGAGGGGACCACCCACATCACAGGACCGTCGTATTAACGTCGGGACGTACCGCGTGATTGCTCACAGCCAGGGGTTGCTCCGACGTACTTCGATGGACCAAGGGGATCTTGCCGCTCAACAAAGGATAGTTGTCCCTTTCTGCTTTCATGCTCTCCCGGCCCCCGCTCTTGACTCCCGCCCCACCCAAAGGAAAAAAAGCAAATGGGATACTCACAAGTCTTACGAACCTTGCCGTAAAGGTACCTGTGTTGTGGGCGGACGGTTCCTTGATGCCTCCCCTTCCGTGGCTCATGCTGAGCAAGACCAAAGTAAAGAAATGGATCAATGGGCCATGAACTTGACGGAATGCAAGGCGGAGTCCGTAGGGAAACATGAAAACAAGCCGACGCTCACCGAAAACAAGCCTAGTATATCTGATCCGATGGATTGAGTGCCTCGCTACGCTAACGGGTTTTGGTGTCCGTTGCTTTACTCATAAGAGCAACGCCACCGGCTTTTGCGGTCGTTTTGGCCTGACTTTCACAATGTAGTGTGCGGTAGACGGTGCATCGTTGTGCTGATGCTGTTCGGCGTAAAAGTGGGTTCGGAGTCTTTCTGTGAAATAAACGGTAAGAATATTCTCGAGAATAACGCAGAAATGCAGAGAGGAACACAAAGTTGGGAAAGGAATGGAGTTCAGCAGCGACCGGAACAGGATGAGGGAAAAACCTCATGAAACTACTGATCCCAAGGTGCGGTAAGACGTGCATCGCTCTACTATCCAACTGGTGCGGTAAGACGTGCATCGCTCTACCATTCCACTTGCTGCGGTATGACGTGCATCGCTCTACCATTCCACTTGGTGGGGTATGAGGTGCATCGCTCTACTATTGCACTTGGTGCGGTATGACGTGCATCGCTCTACTATTCCACTTGGTGCGGTATGACGTGCATCGCTCCACTACTTCTTGCAAGCGGGAGAAGGGATATTCCGTGATTGCGGTAGACGTGCATCGCTCTTCTATCCCACTGGCGCGAGATGGAACTGCTTCGTGTTCTTGGAGTGTTGAAGAGATGACCCCGCTATGCGAGCGGCTTGATTGCCGCAAGTTCTTGCCGCCGCAGTATGATCGTCGATGCGTGGGTAGAGTTTGCGAGGGTGACACTGGTGCGGGAGGTTGCGTGATGGAACAGAGTGCATCGTTCCATATGAGGGGATAATTGCTTGCCGTGGGGAGGAGAATACTGCCGAAAGGCGAAGTGCGCGTTGCCTTATTCGTGGCTATGAGTCGTGCAAGCGGTACAATGAGGTATGTACAGCCCCGAGCTTGCAGCGACGACGAAAGGTTTTGGCTTTTGCTAAGAATCAAAATTGCGTAAGTCATACATATGATTGAAGATCGACGTGTGGACCAAGGGATGACGAACCTCCAAAACCCAAACCCTAAACGTACCAACCCCCTAATCTATACATATGCCAACCCGCTATTCTATACATGTATCCATACATCCCCAGCAATCTGGAGGCCTTGGTCTTGCGACTTGAAAAATCCCTTCAACATAGTGGGGGACCCGAACTTCGGAACACATCCCAGCGAACCCCACATAAGGGTTTTTATCGCCTTCATGTTGGACGCCTAGGTGGAGGACCCGAACTCTCGGGACGCATCCCTGCACTGCTGCACACTTGCTGGTCGGTGGACCAACTTTGAGCTTTGACGGCAAAAAGCCGCGCGCATTCTGGCCACGGGGGGTCTTGGTCTTGAAAACGGCGGCACACAACCCTTGCAACAAAGTGGAGGACCCGACTTCTCGCATCACTCCCAGCTTTCCACCATTTCTGGTGGTCAGCCTTCATGTTGGGCGCCTAGGTGGAGGGACCCGACTTCTCGCATCATCTCCCTGCGTAGACCATGAATGGTCGTGTCCCTCAAAAAGAGGACGCAATCTGGCCACAGGTTTGCTCTTGATATTTAATAGTGCGAATCCACCGGGAGCCGCGAAGTCAGGTGCGAACTCACCGGAAGGAGTCTTGGTCTTGTACAGCAGTGGACGGTGTCCATGCAACTATCGGTAGTCTATGTGAACATGAGCCAGGTCAATATGTGCAGCAGAGTATCGTTTGGGTATGAATCAAATAAAAATACGCTTCCGAACTTACTCGGTAATTCACCAAGAGTGGGAGATCAAAGCAGATCAACAGTGTGAATACTGTGAAAGCAGAACTGCAGAATACGGCCCGGCTTGATGGTTTCCAAAGCGTAAAGAGTGCTATGTGGTGCAAATGTTTGTCAGCCTCTTGTGTAAGTGTGATTCGACAAAATGCGGTGAACGTACTTGGCTCTGCTATCCTCCTGATGGATGAAAAGCGGGGAATGACTTGGTGTAGCAGAGAGAAGCGAAGCAGTCAAGCATGT